CTGGGAAATCAAGTCCCTAAACCCTAAACCCTAAACACCGAAGTGCCGGGCTGCTGCAGCTGTCGTTTGGGGTCTAGGGTCTAGGGTTTAGGGGTTTAGGGGTTTATGGTTTAGGGTCTAGGGGTTTAGAGTTTAGGGGTTTAGGGTTTAGGGTGGCATTCTTAAAGGCTCCACGACCTCACAATATACAACCCTTATAGAAACTCTTATGGTCCCTTATAGATCTCTTTAAGGAGCCCTTGAATCCCTAAGAGGACCCTAATTTAGAGAACTACCCATATAATCAACTTAAGGAATCAAGACTCAAACTGCTACTTGTCATCTACCCCAAACCCTAAACCCGGGTGTATGGTATGCATGGAGGTCGCAGTGGGCCGAGACCCCAGACAAAATGAATAACTATCGATCCGTGAATGATGAGTCCAATGTGAAGCTTCGCATCCCAAATATTCAGCAGCCGAAAAGCACGGCATACCTTGAACAGCAATCGGACGCAAAACCCCCACCCCCTAACTCCGCACCCCACCCCCCATCACAACCAAAACAGAATAATGTAGGTGCCTTAACAATTAGAACAGGGTTTGGAGCTCAGTATACTATAACTATAATAAGGAGCCCCCCAAAATAGTATAGGTAAGTATTAGGGCCCCTATTGTAGGCAAATCAAGTCGCCTCGTGCCCTCCTCCCGAAGAAAAGCCCCGAAAGCCGTCAAACTCGGTGAGCCGACGCGACCTCCTCTCGAGCGGTTCGTCGCCCAGCCCCAATTCCTTGGGTGTAGGGTTTGGTTAAAAGAAACTACAGGTGGGGAGTTTAGGGGCTTCTATACGGCTTCCATAAGGTATATAGACCTTCTATAAGGCTCCCATAACGGAAACTACCCACCTGAAAATGTCCCTAGGTTTAGGGTTCCTTGGCAATCCTCTGCTAAGAGTTTCAGCTTTTTGTTAGTGCAAAATGGGTCTGGGGTCTAGGGTTGAGGGTGTAAGGCTTTAGGATAGCTCGAAAGTTTCGGTTTTGTGGGTAAAGGATGTGACAGCCTTCGCACTCTGTCTGCACAACGACGGGCTCTCCTATTTCCAGTCATCAGAACAATCCGAGCATGTTAACAGCAGTGCACGAAGAGGCAACTTTTGCAACCATGAAGGTAGCTGCTGTTATCAACCTGAAATAAGCAGCCATAGTCTCAGACCCGCAACTCCAAACCGCAAGAACACAAAGCCAGCCTAAACCCCAACAGAGCCCCAAACCCGCCCAAACCCTACAGTTATTGTAAGCCTTATAAACCCTAAACCCCGAAAACCTGTCACCCTGCACCCCGGACCCTTCCCCTAAACCCTAAACCCTAAACACCTAACCCCTATCTATACCCTAAACTCTAAACCCTAAACCCCCAAACCCTAAACTCTTATCCCTATACCGGCCCTATACCCCAGAAGCAGAGCCGAAGCGTCTCTCTGGCTTGCACCAAGGCGACCACACCATCCTGGAGCCTCGGTGCGCGAGGGCTTTTTTCAAAAAGCTCAACCTTACGGGATATGGTTTAGGGTTTAGGGTTTAGGGTTAGGTTTAGGGGTTAGGCTTTACGGTTTAGGGTGCCCAAGTAGTTATGGGAAGCTTCGGGTTCTGAAAGTTCTGAAAGCGGTTTAGGGCTTAGGGGAACGTTCTAAACCCTAAACCCTCAACCCTACACATCCGCATGAAGATTCCGAGAAATAGGATAGCCAAGCCGAGGATTGCAGGGATTGACTGAGATAGTAAGTGAGATACTGCAGGTGTTGGCCTGACTGTTACCAAGGCTCCCCCTGAAGGAAGTCCCTATATAACCGTACTATAGCTTACCCCAAAAGCCTATTCCAATCATTCGGGATCTATATTATGGTGTTGCTTATGGCTTTTCAATCTTGTTCCTGCTAGGACAGATGCGGGTTGAAGCAGACACACGGTTCAAACTCAGATTCCACTTACCGGGATCCGTTTCCCAAGGAGAGCGTCTACAAGGCATCTATCGAGGTGCCATAGGATTTGTTTACATACAGCTTTGGGGACTCTTAGTTCTTAGGGTGGCAGAGCTTTCCTGTCACTATGTATACTAGGATATACTACAGTTTATTTCCGAAAATTAGGCTATTCTATGTTGAGAGTCGAGAAAGCCCCGGATTGCTGCGTCAAAGCAGCACGGGCTCGCCCATCGTCTCGTGCATGGGCGCCTGATGCTTGGCGAGCACCTCCGGAGTCAAACATGAAAACTCGCTTAATGTAGGGGCCTTACCCTATGCTTCCAGGGGCCTCACTAGTGGATCCTTAAGGGGTTTAGGGCCCTAACTACAAGATCCTTGGAAGCATGGGGTTACTAATTAAAGAGAAGATTTTGGCTCCTTCATAGTATGACTATAATCAGGAACCCTACGGCCCTAAGGAATAGGAATAGTATGGGTAAGTTAAAACTGCTCAGGCCCCTAGTTTCTGGGGAAACCTCCACGCTCTGCAATTCTCTGGTGCTCGGGGGGTGGGGGGGTATAAGTTTAGCCGAGTTCTGTTAGGATTGCTGTCGGGTTTTGCGCTGCTCTTATGGGGTTCGGCAGGGTTTCAGTACGAGGTATATACAGAACCCTAAACCCTAAACTGAAGCTTCTCCACCGTGGGTTTAGGTGGCTGGGGCGCTGGCCGGATCCCCAGACCAGACATAACACAAGACTCCCGACAAAATCGGCCATGCAACCAAACTCACCAGAAGGGTTTAGGGTTGAGGGCTTAGGGAAAAAATCGAAGGGGAAATCAAACACTGAAAGGCCCCAAAAAACCCAAAGGCCTTGATCACTTCCTCGGCATCAAACTCGGCTGCCACGTGTGCCGGCGTACGGCCCCAGTTGTCGGGTGTGACGAGGAAGCCTGTGACCCCAAAGTCCTAGACGTTTGGCGACAAAACGAATGGCCAACAGCAAAACACCACAAGGGAGACCATAAATTAGATACTGGACCTTTTCGGCAACGGGCATCAGCCAAAGTTGACTAGACTATCGGCTCTTGATGCCAACTATGACCCGCACACAGACCTAAACCCTAAACCCTAAACCGACCCCCAGGAACCAAACAACTTCACCTTAAACCGAAAGCCCAAGACCCGGAAGTCTGAAGCAACAGGAAGAATCCTAAACCCTGCAGTAGGCCTTAGATGTTCCCTAAACCCTAGACCCTAAACCCGAGAAGCCTCAAAGAGCAGATAAAATGGGAAGGGTTTAGGGTTTAGGGTTTAGCAAGCCGTGGTCAACGAAGAGCGTGGGAATGGCTCTCGGCTCAACGGGGTTTAAGAATAGGGGTACAAGCTTAAACCCAAACTGCCCTAGACCTTATCCCTAAACCGTAAACCCCAAAAAACTCTACACTCTAAACCCTGAACCCTTAAACCCTAGACCCTAAACCCTGAACCCCTAAACCTCACAAACACCCTAAACCCTACACGCCTAAACCATCCTAAACCCGAAACCCCAACCCCCAAACCCTCGGGATTCAGGACTGGGGGGCATGGAGCTCTATCTATATATAGGGCGGTTTAGGGTTTAGGGTTTAGGGTTTAGGGTTTAGGGTTTAGGGGTCCATGTACCCAAATAGGTTGTACTTTGGCACCAAAGTACCTATATTAAGGGACTACTTTAAGGCCAAAGTTTGTACTATTTGGGCACATAGAACCTTAGGAATATTGAATAGGTCAGAGACTGTAGCCAGTGGGTCATAAGCAAGTTGGTTCCATGCACTACCTAGGATAGCTTTGCGACTTTCAGCATGGGGTGGTACCTATTTTTCATTGGGATCCTGATAGGCTGATAGGATACGTATCCACTCTTGGCTCAGGCTACCAATAATTCCAGGGAGCCACATGCTATGTCACGTACATTCCCGGAAATCTGCGCAAAATCCGCACCCATGCCAGGCAGCTGTGAGGTAGCTGGCACAGTTGTAGGATCACCTGCACCAATCACAGCACCGGCAAGAGAGAAACAGCTTGAGAGTAGGCCGGAAGTGTTCGCACGTTGGGTTTGGACTTCACCCGTCAAGACCTAGCTTCGGCCCGACATGACCAAGGTGCAGGGTCGCAAGAAATCGCAAAGTTGAGCAACCAATCAGGACCTCAGACCCCAGTATAAAGTACGTACTCAGATGGCTATCCCTTTGTTCACAAAGTCTATAGGGAGTCACCAGAGAGTCGCCGATCCTAACCCTAGGTGCACCTGAAACACCAGATCTGTCACCTTGCGAAACTTCTTCGCAACCGAATCGAAACTTGAAGAAGGCTAAAGTGGCTTTACGTGCAAGGGGCTTTTCGGGTTTCAGTTAATATAGGGGCCTTAATTATTAAAAATAGAGTGTTGGGGCCCATTATGCTATACCTATTATGAGGAACCCCCCCCAAAAGTATAGGTAATTATTAAGGCCCCTATGGCACAGGGTTTCGCATGGTTCTGTTCAGGTTCCATCCTTATGAGAAGACAACTTTGGCCCTGAAGGTTTGGGCTTAGATACCCTAAACCCTAAACCCTAAACCCTAAACCCTAAACCCTAAACCCTAAACCCTAAACCCTAAACCCTAAACCCATACCCGACAATCCCGTTGGGCCCGAAGCCCCTAACGAGGCGCTGGACTCGGATTGAGAGCCCGAGACCATTGTTTTAGCAGATCATATTTTTCATCAAACTATATATATATATATATATTACTTGTTACATGTTTATTTTAGTAGATCATGTTGCATCATGATCTATATATATATATATATATATATAGATGACTTGTTGCATTTTTTGTTGTGCTTGAACTTCAAATCCCAATGCTGTGAGTTCCAACCCTAAGCCCACTGAGCTCTGAGCCCTACCTGTGGATCCCAAACCTGCTTTTCAAGAGTCGGAGTTTGTATTTAAGTTTAGGGTTTAGGGGTTTAGGGTTTAGGGCTTAGGGTCATACATAGCACTTTGTAGGGATAGGGGGCTAGAGATTTGGGGCTGCGGGTACACGTAAACCTACGAAGCCCAAACACTTCACCCTCTGAAATAGGAGATTGGATCAGGGATCCTTGGGGATAGACCCTCTCAACAAGGTCCCTGCTAGGAGAGCCACAAGTAGGGTTCAGAAGGGTCCTCTTTAAGGGGTCTCCCTTATACTACCTAGTGGATCCAGGCCTCGAGACACGCAGCTTTGCCGGCGGCTGCAGCGTGGTGCACAACACTCCAGCCCTGCTTGTCAGCGGCCTCGGTTTAAAGTAGGGGCCGTAATAATTAGAATAGGGTTTTGGTGCATACTAGACCATAATCATAATAAAGAACCCCCAAGGTTTTGGTGTATATTATACCATCATCATAATAAAGAACTCCCCCAAAACAATATCATAGGTAATTATTAAGGCGTCTATAGTGAGGTTGAGCGCTCATGGCTTGGAGTTTAGGGTTTTTACGGTTCAGGGCCAAACTGCTAGGGAGAAGAGAAACAAAAATGGAAACCCAATAGCCTCAATCCCTGAGACCCTGAGAGTAAGGTGTATAGGGAATCCCAGCACGAATTGTCCTTAATCCGGTGTCCAACTTTTCGGGCTTTCTTTGTAGGATTTAAGATTTAGACCCTAAACCCTAAACCGTCTCAGGTGACTTCGCTTCAATATCGAGCCTTAGCAGCCGGAACAGGGCTTCGCGGACACATCACAGCTGTGTAGCAGTTATTATGCAGGGGCTGATATCACTAGACACCCCGATTCCTAATCCCTAAACCCTAAACCCTAATCCCTAATCTAAATTAGGATTACGTGGTGTGCATTTTCGGATTGCGGGTGTTGGGTTGCGTTTCAAGATTAGCTGGTTGAGCTAAACAGGGTCTTGAAAGGTCCGGGAACTTCTAGAGTTCAGGGTTTTAGGGTCTAGTGTTCCGGGCTCAGGGCTTCAGGTTTCGGAGTCTTTAACCGCAGGTTTTGGGGTCTGAAATCGTCTAGGGGTCAGCTTCCTACTATATCGAGAGCCTCATGTTATGAAATTGATGGACCGCAAGCTACCACGGACTTCAAGGATCAAGGGACTTGGACAGAATAGTTACAAGCCGCGAAAAAAGTAAACCGTAACCCCTAAAAACAGACACCAAGTCTGTAAGAAACTCATACACACCTCATCCCAAACCGTAATTATACTCCCACTCCCGGGGTTCCCGGAGATCTACAGTATCCCTTGCAGAAGCTGGAGCAGACCCTAAATGAGATGAAAAACCTGAAACACACCATAAAACTGTTTGCCTACAAGACCCTCCAAGCACCGGAGTCGAGGCTCCTTCATGTCCTCTTCAGTAAACTGGCCCACGTGGAGTATGGAATAAACGGCCTCTCATCGGATCGCAGATTACCGGAAGGAACAGTTTTTGGCGGGCTTAGGGCTTCGGATTTATGGTTTAGGGGTTTAGGGTTTAGGGTTTAGGGTTTAGGGTTTAGGGTTAGGATGTTGTTTTGGGCTTCTGGTTTAAGGCCTTGGGGCTGGGCGTCTAATCCAAATACCACGCGCCTCGGCCACACCAGTGCGTGCCGCACGGTGTAGGCAGGAGCAACCGCTCGCGTCTCCTGGGCGAGCGAACTATACTGTACGTAAACTAAGGAACCCTGACGAATAATGTTGGCAATTATCGAGGATTTTGTATTGGTTTAATTTCGGTCCTATAGGAACTTCATAGAAATTCTACAAGAGCTTTCTAATTTAAGGTTTCGGGTGTAATCAGGGTCCATTACATAGAGTTAGCTTGTCGCTTGCTAAATGATTACTAAGCATGCTAGCCAACAGTGTGGTTGACCAAAAAGGAATTATACATTGGAGACTACACGTAAGCCACAAATATAAGGAGAGATTGAGATCGACAAGCAGAGAAGGCCCGCTAGTCTATGGTTGTGACCATGCGGATGATTGTGGCAATAAACGGCCTGGATACGTTGAATAGGGTTTGGTGATATACCGTAGCAGAACAGTATAACTCTATAACTTGAAGCATGTTGCAGCATATTCCTTAACGAAAGCCGAGTCTCTCTTTGCAAGCTCCTTGACATCCAAGAGTCCTCAGGGCATTCTCGACAGGAATTTGCAATTCCTTGTGGGCTCCATATTTGGTACAGGCTTCAGGGCATAGGGACAAGTTACAGAATTTAATCTTTAAGGTCTATAGGGCCTGCAGAAGCGCAACGGCTTCGTATTGGGGCTCCCAAATTCAGGGTCCTTGAGACACAGTTCAGGATATGTAGGATATAGCTCATATAAACCCTGCAGGGAGCATAAGTCGATGCAAACAGCCTTCGTTGCGCTGCTTGGAGCCCCTTCGAAACATGGACACCTTTGCAGCACTAAAGTCTTAAACCCTAAAAACCTATCAACCCTGAACCCTAAACCCTGGTTTAAACCCCAAAGTCTTAAACCCTAACGACTCGCTATAAAATAAATCCGGCACCCAAAGCCTTCACAGCGGACATCCTGAACCGCATCCCTAAACCCGAAACCCCTTCGTTAGGGTTTAGGGTTTAGGGTTTCGGGGAGGCCTCCTAGCTGCCCTTCCTACAGCCGTCCCATTGGGTTTAGGGTTTAGGGTCCATGGTCTTAGTGATGGGCGCTCAGGCAGGGCATACTGGGATGTAGCTGCGAGTCTGAAACCATATGCTTATTCCGACTATTCCCGAGCCGGATTCCCAAACCTCCTTGATCCTTTCGAAGCCCTAAACTGCAACCTAAACCCCACATGTAGCCGCAAAAAATACCTTTTAGGGTTCCTTCCTATGGATTCTATTTAAAATCCCTGAAAAACGGCATGCTTTTTGGGCCACAGGTAAACCCCTAAACCCTCAACTAAAGCCCTTAGCCCCAAACCCCTCAACCCTAAACCCTAAACCCCAAACCCTAACTAAAGCCCTGAACCCAGCCTTTCTGCAAGAACTTCTCAACGGAGGCGTACGCCCCGTGCGAGACGAGGACCCCTGAGGGCAATGCTCCTCGACCTGGGTCTAGGAAGTTTTCAGGTGGGTAGTTACCGTTATGGGAGCCTTATAGAAGGTCTATATACCTTATGGAAGCCTTATAGAAGCCCTATATACCCTAAACTCCCCACCTGTAGTTTCCTTTAACTGGGTGCACCGACAGGGCTTTGTAGTGGGTTTAGGGTTTAGGGTTTAGGGGGTTTTGGGTTTTGGGTTTAGGGGGGTTTAGGGGGGTTAGTGGGATGTGATAGGGCGGTTTCTTTCAGTCTCCATCATTTGCCGGGTTGTTTTAAGTTTTCATTGGGATTTAGGTTTTGACAGGAGTCGGAGAGTTCTAGGACTTTGGGAAAAGTGCCAGAATAAAGTACAATGGCTAAGTCATGGAGGTTTGCCAAACGTCATCTTGATGCTGAGCTGACGAAGCCCTAAACCCTAAAATCCTGAACCCTCAAACCCTAAAACCCCTAAAACCTCAAAACCCAATGGTACCCTTGTAGTTACAGGTCCCTTTAAAGGAATCCTTATAGATCTTGTAGTAACCCCTAAACCCTAAACCGAAAGCTGACGAGACTTTCGGCGCAGTTATTCCCTAAAGCGTACACCCAAAACCTTAAACCCTGGAGAGAGCTCAAGGCCTCAAACCTTTCCTTCGACCCCAAAACAGACGACCTTAAAGGGATACCTCTAAGGGGCTTAGGGTTTAGGGGTTTAGGGCTTTAGGGGTTTAGGGCTTAGGATTTAGGGTTTAGGGGCCCCGTAAACATCCAACGCAAGGCCTCTTGAAACTCAACCCCTCGGAGATGGTAGGTGTGGGATGCTGATCTGGCGAAACCTCAGTCCAGTCATTTACGGCCACTCCTTGAGGTGGGGTTTAGGGTTTTAGGGTTTAGGGTGGCCAACTACCCGCGTGACCCCAAACAGACTACCCCTGCACCACGACGAAGGCCTGACCCACCATGGTCCGCCGAGTTTCGGAACCTCCCTCTGAACCCCCCCCAAAAGGCGCTCCTCTCCCCCGGATTTAGGGTTTAGGGTTTACAAAAGGTTTATAGGGTTTAGGGCCTCTCTCCCCCCTCAACCCTAAACCCTAAACCCGAAGATAGTCCGAGCTCTGTTTTCTCGCAATCTCCTCATGCTTCCGGCTTGGCGAGAGACTCCGATAGCCCAGTGTAGAGCTCCAGAATTCTACATATTTTACGGAGTTAGCGCTAAAAAGCCTCTTTTCCTCCTTCCCTTTGAATTTCAAGGACCTCACTATAATGCAGGGACCTTAATAATTAGAATAAGGTTATGGGCTCCTTATAGGACAACCATAACAAGGAACCTAAGGAACAATATAGGTAATTGTTGATAGGCTTCTATATTATACCCTAAACCACAATGTAGCATAGTGTACTCTGCTCTACAAGGGCTGGTCTCAGGTCCCGAGCTCAGGCTTCAAACGCTTCAAACACAATTTTCACAAAGTGTCCCTACGTGCGTAAGTGATAGAAAGTAGGGCTTCTTTTATGTAGGAATTGGGAGTTTCAGAAAATTAGGGTAGAGGTTTAAGGTTTAGGGACTTAACGTTTAGGGGCTTCGGCTTGAGGGGTTTAGGGTTTAGGGTGCTTGCGGCGCAAAGATGTCAGCGGGGCTGGGCCCAGTCTGGACGTCACAGGCACAGGGTTTGAACCTTTCACCTGAAACACGCGCTTCGAGAAGAGACACCCTGTTGGGGAATCTTCCGAACCACTGGCTGGTGAACATCAGACATAGCTGGCACAGCGGCCACTTCGAAACTTGGCAAGTGCGATCATGCCAAAGTTGACAAGGTGTGCCTACAGGTCATATCGAAGCTTTTGTGTGTGCTGTCCCTGGCACTTGCTTCCAAGGCCTGGCAAGAAAGTAATGGCTTACCAACGCAATGCACAGAGTCACGACCCAGAACACACCCGCACCGATCAGAGGCTCGGGAATGACTTGGTACAGCAGTGTTTGAAGTGCATGGGGAATAAATGTAAGCACCCCAATGACCACGTAGCCGACGCAAGTGGCAACACAACGAAGGAGGAGTGATTTCGACCGGCCGATCTCCATCATATAGGCAATAATCCTGATCATAATCAAGAAGTGCGTTGGCGTGATCCACAGAAACCAAGCCATGGTGGCAACCGCCACGGAGGCAGCATAACTATAGGCGCCACCATGTGCCCGTGCCGCGATGGCATCCAGCTGTCCCCAAAGTATGCACGTGGTCATCCCTACCTCGATCAAAACACAGTTTGGGGTTTAAAAATAAGGTTTAGGGTTTAGGGTTTATAATTGGGCTTAGATTTTGGATAATACTGGTTACTGGTACTACTTGGGGCCGTCACGTATAACATTGATACCTTGAACAAGCATCATCCCACGACAACATCAAATTCCGACAGTAGCGCTTAGCATGATAAGATCAGTACCTGTAGCAATCCAGGCTCTCCAGTAAGAATAAACGCACACATATTCCTACTGTAAAACAAACAACATTTAGAAGCAACGAAAACCAGCAAGAGCAGGCTGTAGCAATAGCCTGGCAACTGTTTACTGTTACTACGGCCACTGTTCTCTATACCACTACACCCCTACCATCACCACCACAACCACCCCCCACGGCAAGCGCCACCGCCCGTTAATTTTTTCTCTACATTCTTCTCAAGCAAGCAACCGTCCATTGATACCCGAGAGGAAAGCGGGTCACCTGCTCAATGAAGGCATCGTGCACATGGGTGCGGACACCCACCTCGAAGTCTTCTACAGAGCCGTACCACTCGACAATGCAACCTTCGATTATCTCCTGGGGTGCTTCGAGAACATAGGGCACGTTTGGGGGGATTGTTGAAGATCCTACGAAATATTATGGGATTCAGATGAGATCGCCTCTCTTGTGAAACTCTGACATATATAAATCATAAGAAAAGTAAACGAAGTTCAAAAATGCACGGGGCTTAAGCAAGCAGATCATGGAAGTAAGGGTTTCGCTGCTGGCAGCCCTTTCACCCCTCCATTTTTGCAGCCATTCTGCGATTTTTGGCGGAGGCTGTTCTGTGGCTGATGGGCCTCCTAATCTTCCCCCATGTGCAAAAAAACAAACCAAGGCTCCTTGTCGCAAGGCATGGAATTTCCACTTCTGTCCAAGTGGTTTACAGAACAGCAGTAGCACGTGACCTTCTGCAAGCTGAAGGTGCGAAACTGCCTCTCGGCATCCATGACTTTTCGCCAGAGCCGCTGGATAATGTAGATGAGAGGAACCTGAGACCCTACAAACAGGAATACCCGCATGAAGGCGACGAAATCTGTATCCGGGAGGGCAGTTTCAAAGAGCAGCGTGAGGGCGGAAGTCGCGCCGACCAGGAAGGTCAGGGGTACCAAAGCTGAAGGCTTGATGACCAAGTGCTTCTTGAGAAAGCTTGAGGGGTCTTCACGATGGCCGTGGAGAAATGCTGCAAGCTCAAAAACGCACCAGAGCCTCCAGCGGCCAAATGTTCCGACCCCCGAATACTTCAATCAGACTCAATCTGCAAATTCGCGATAAACCCTAAACCCTAAACCCTAAGCCCGATCTTCTTAATCAGCCTCAAGGAGCAGACGCATAACTCGTCGAAGACCCAAAGTTGAGAGTAATCGTTTAGGGCTGAGTCTTCACTCTAAACTCTACATCTAAACCTTGTAAAAATGATTAAACCAACCCCTTAAGTGACCAGAAACACCAGCTGTGTGCGCCCCGAACCTTGAACCCTAAACCCTAAACCCTAAACCCTAAACCCTAAACCCTTGAACCCTAAAAACCAGGACCCCGAGTTCCTGCGTTTGAGCGTCTGGGACTTTACAGTTTCGGGTTTGGGGCTGATGGTCTAGGGGTTTAGGCGCTCGGGGTTTAGGGCTTAGGGGTTTGGGGATTTCGGGGTTTAAGGTTTAGGGGTTAGGGGCTTAGGGGTTTAGGGGTTTAGGGTTTAGGGGTTTAGGCTTTACGGGTTTAGGGGCTCGGGGCTTAGAGGTCGCACGCCGGTTAGCGCGCAGTGGCGTGCAGACATGCCCTCGCCAAGGCCATAAATACAAGACTCGCAGCAAGCCATGCCAAAGCCACCTAAAGCCAAGCCAAGCCAACAATAAAAGTTATAAAGCTCAAGCACATGAGCATGTGAGATTCTAGGTTGAAATCAGACCGCGGATGCTGTTGGAATGCCTAATGACCTAGTGAATGCAACCGGCACATGTGTGAGAGGTCAAGACGAGCAAAAACGTAAGGTCGCAACGGCGAGCTTTGGGACGTTCTGGGCGAAGGGAGGGCCTAAATAATTACCAATACTATTTTTGAGGGCTCAGATCGCCGACAACAGCGTCGGAAAACTGCGCCCCAGCGCTAATAGCGCGTAGGGTAGAGCTTGTGCCATCACGCATAGAAGCTCCCCAGCGTGGCACCGCAAGCGCAGAGCGGCGCGGTCCAAGGCCCGCCGCGTCTGGCGCTCCGGAGCTCCGCTACAGGCGAAGCAGCGCGCTGCGTTACTAGTCCACCACGCCACGGACCCTCACTTTCGGCGTCTTCTTTTGAGTGACCGTGTTATGGGCAGAGGCCGCAAGAACCAGGATCCGACATGGCGATCCGATGCGTCTTCGCAGCTCTGGCGTGGTGCTTGGTCGCCGGCAATGCGAGAGAGAGCAGCGCCCTGGAGGACGGAGGAGTCCCGGAGAGGCGCTTCATTCCCGACCTACGAGTCCATCCCGTTGCCCAAAGGACAGTCACATGGTCAGATTGTCGACTTGGAAGGGGAGGACGCAATGGTGCCACTGGTGCAGCAGGCGGTCAACCATGCGAGAAGGGCGGAATTGAGGGTCGCCAAGCTTCGCCAAGGCTACAAGGCGACGCAGGACAAGTGGGCAGCCTTCGAACTGAAGGCCAAGGAGAACTTCCGCAGGGAGCGGACGAAGTTCCACAAGGAGCAGCAGAGGCAGGGCAAGGAGCTCGAAGAAGCCTTGGCCGCCCAGGAGGATGCTCGTGTGGCCATCAGACGCGCCATGGCCGCCGACACGGTTATGGCCTTTCCGGAAGAGAGCAAAGGCTTGCCGACTGTCGACGAGGTCTTTGCGGACTGGACGCGGGAGGACGATGCCTCCTTCCAGCAGGTTTTGCAGCGAGCGCTGGCGCCCGCACATACTCCTGCCCGAGGCACTGGAGTCCCTCCTATGACACCAGCCTCACGCCCACCTACGGACATGGAGGTGACACATGCGACTGCATTTCCGGACGACCCTTACCTGGGTGTTGCTCCTTCCCCTCCTTGCGGAGCAATGCCAGCTGCGAATGCAGCTCCTCCGGGCTTGAGCCCAGTTGGGACTGGACAGATACCGAAGACCCCCTCGGTGGGACGCAAGAGCATCAAGGAGACGAGCAAAACTGCCGCAGTTTTGGAGCCGCTCCGAGGGCCCGATATGCAGGACAAGCTCGATGCCAAGCGGCGCGCTCTGCACCCTTTTGGTGTTGCTCCTCCTGGCCAGGCGGATTCTACGATTTCCCATGCCAGCCCAGCTGCCCGCCCGGGACTTTTGCTCGACGACGACGAGTCGCTAGATGTGAGTCCAGGCTTTGGCAACCTCGACGGATGAGCCTTTCTTGGCGGATGCGAGTTCTTGGTTCGAATGGTAGGAAAAG